CCCCCCCCCCCCCCCCCAGCCTTTTTTCCTGATCCCTTTCTAAAAAGCAGAAGCAATTGGAATCTCTGGGAGTTGCTAATTTCTTCCAGCCCAACCTCCCTGTTTCGTTGCTGATGGTTTTCCGGTTTAGGAGCGGGCTTAGCAAGGCGGGTAGCAAAAAACAGAGTGGCAGAGCATCACCGGGCTGCAGGGGAGCATTCAGACAATGCTCTGTACAACCCCCCCCCATCCGAATGAAATCGGTGCGTACAACCTCGCAGGAAGAAATCTAGGGCTCAAATCCTGACCTGCTAGTTTTCTACCTTTAGGGGGTGGAAAGCCTCTCTCCCTAGCCCCCCAGCCCCTGCCCCAAGGCCTGACTCACGAGGTCTGGATTAAACGTGGCAGCCGGGCCTGGTTTGCAAATTCGCATTGGCTTCCTCCCCGTTCCCAAATTCGGGGTGAATCCAGCAGCGTCTCCGTTGGTTCCGCTTGGGGGGAGACCTCAGCCCCTGGATTCAAGGGGGCAAAATCATCCCCCCCATTCAATTAGACCCTAAAGGTAGAACCGTGGAAGAACCAGAAGGGCCCCTGACTTTTCTCTGTCCTCCTTCGACATACTCAGTACTTCCCACAATCACAAAACTGTCGATACCTGTTTGGGAAAAGCAAAATTTTTATCCACCCGGCTCTATCCCCAAAGCCTCATCCGTCTCTCTTCCCGTTGCATCCTAAGGGGCCGTTTTCCAGAATTCTGTCTGGGCAGACAGAGCATAACCCCGATTTTCGCTCGGCATTGGCGGTGCCACGCCGTGCCCAAATCTTTCAAAGTTTCCTGGCCACGTTCTCCTTTTAAATTATTTAAATCCCCCTGTTACATAAGAGAGGGTTGGGAGCGTTGGACCGCGGGCCAAGAACCTGTCCCTGTTCTTTATTTATCGGTTGAATTCTTTCTTCGCTTCCTCTTTGCTTTAGGAAAAAGGCTGGTGCAGTCTACCTTTCCGACAAACGTCATCCAGCCCGTCCGGAAAAGCCAGAAGAGAAAGCAAAAAATCTCTCGAACTGACTTGGGGGCAAATCCCACTGATTTAGGGACCGCTCCTGCTAAGTTAGGGAAGTTTAAGGTCGGGGTAAGTACTTTTTAAAGATTTTTGGATCGGCTCGCTATACCACAGCTAAAGCCTAGTCCCATACGCCCGCCTCAATTCCCTTGCAACCATCCACCTTCACTTTAAACCTCTTTTTGGTCCCAAACACCTTCCAGATGCGCTCGACTACAACATCCATCATCCCCAGCTTTTTCTGCCCTTGGGGCTGAGTGGAAAATGCCCTTTTTTCCTTGTCTGTATCCACGTAGGCTGGCCTTGCCACGGCCGGTCATTTTTCAAGCCCCCCCCCCATGCTGAAATCTAAAGCTGCCAGATTTTTGTTCCTTGGCGATCCAAACCGGCCCACGCTTGGGGGCGGCTGGGTTTCCAGCCTCGCCGGCTGCGGTGAGGGCGAAGCCACACCGGGCCTCCGTGCGCGTGCCTAAGTGCAGACTTGTGTTGCCAGCTGGAGGCCAGAAATGTGGGGACGAGGAAAGGGGCGTCTTGGAGGGGAGGGTGCTCGAAACAAACCCTAACTCGGTGCTATTTTTAAAACTTGGCCATCCAAAATAATGGGGGGGGGGGCGTCTAGGACGTGGCTTGGAAGTGGGAGCATCCTGCAGAATATTTGGAGGGGGGGAGCATGGGATTATGGCGGAAGGTGCCGTTTTGCACCCGAAAAGTTCTTGAATGCAATGCCCCCCCCCCCCAATCCTCCACCAGGTAAGGCTGGGGAAAACCTTTGGCTGATCATTGGAGGAAACCCTTCCAGGGTCGCTTTACAGCCCCCTACTCAGTTAGATGAGGCAGCCCAAATCTGATGCTTCTAAGTCGCCACCTTAGGAGCCGAGGCGAGAAGCCAGTCCCCTTGAGGACTAGTAACATGCCCTGATGAATTTGCCCCGGAAAACTTGCGGCTATGGGAAAGGTGGACCTTTCCCTTCTCGTCTCTAAATGCTGAGCCGCCATTGATGTTTGCAATGATTCTGTTTTTAATCCAAATCTCTCTTCTGGGTTTCCCTGCACATTTTGGCCAGACGTATCCGAGGGAATTATTCGTTTAGTGGATTTTTTTCAGTAGCATTTTACACCAGACTCAGCCTAACACCGCCGGGGATGAAATTTCAAGTCCTTGTTTACTTATGGCCTCTTGCAAAAATCTTGCTGCTTCTTTTTTTAGGCGTGTGTGTTTGTGTGTGTGTGTTTGTGGACACAACCCCGCCATTGCCCACGAATGAAATCCTAAAGGGTGCACATTTATTTCCCTTTCACAAAGTTTTCCAGTGGTACCTGCTCTTCCAAATCAACATGGGCGGCCAAAAATGGATGGTCTATTTGCATTTAAAACAGAAAAGAAAAAAAAGAAGAGAGAAATGCAAATGCTAAAGATCCCATTGGCGCCTCCAGTCCTTCAAAGCAGGCGCTTGGGTAATTGATTCCTGAAAAATAAACTAAGGTTCTAGTCCTCAGTGGGTCTTGGAAAAAAAATACAAGGGGGCCGATTGAAACCTGAATCGACAGTCTTGTCTGTCACTTGGATTGTCTGATTCTTGGTCTGTAGCAGTCCCTGGCGAGAAATACCCTTTTCCAGTCCAGTTTGGACATACGGGGGTGCTAAATAATGCAACGCCTTCAGACCTCATGGAAGATCAGTTCGGTTCTCCTAGACTTTCAGGTGAGAATTGACTCAGCAAATGCTGCTTCCCTGCACCCCCCACCCCGCCTCTTCCCAGATCCTTTCCCAGAGCCCGAAAGGTTCACCCCTGCCAGGCCATACCCGCCCATCCCACTTGGGATCCGCCAGATTGGTCAGAAAACAAGCAGCTTCTCTCTCTCTCTC